TCCGGGAGTTGCACAATCTCATGGTCTAAGGAAATGATACTTGACATTCGGAAAAGCTATAGCAAACGAACTACACGATCTTTGAGCTATGCTTAGGATTGGGTCTTGTCCATCACATTATTCTCCTAATGATGTGATCCCGTTATCAATGACATCCAATGTCCATAGCGAGGAAACCCTGACTATCTTTTGATCAACGAGCTAGTCAACTAGAGGCTCACTAGGGACGTGTTGTGGTCTATGTATTCACACATGTATTACGATTTCCGGATAACACAATTATAGCATGAACAATAGACAATTATCATGAACAAAGAAATATAATAATAACCATTTTATTATTGCCTCTAGGGCATATTTCCAACATACTCGACCACGAAGGATGAGTTGTTGTGCGATGCATGGCTGGCCGTATCCGTGGATTTCTTAGGCATGAGCAGAGGGGAGCCCTTCTGGGAGCAAGTGCATGAAAAGTTTCACGCATGAGAACACATTGCTCCCTACGACATGTACATCATTCAACCACGCAACATGAAGTCATTGTCGTATTGCTGGAAGGCTATCTATGTCAGCGCCATCAAGTTTTCCAACTTGGTTAGTCAGCTCAAGGCAAGGTGGTCATTGCACGCGGACATGGAGGAGATGGTAAGTTTTACTTCCTCTTTCTCAACTTGTTCATTCACTCAATGTTGGTCTACACATTATATGTAGCTCGCACGCGCCGCCTTGGTGTACCACATGACAGAGGGACGACCATTACGTGCACACACTTTTGGATCAAACTGAAGGGGGAGTTTAATTGTGTGGAACAACATGACCCGTTCATGAAAAACTTGTTGGCATCCGGGATCTAGTCGAATTAGAGACATTGTTGTACTAGACTTAATTTGCATGCTATGTATGGATAATTTGTGCTATTTTCTATCCGACTTTTATGAATATCGACCGCTTTCCATGAATTTCATTCGGTTAGTTAAAATGCGGTTTGAAATGTATGCATCTATCGTTGGATGGCGTCCTCCCGCATCCATGTCCGTGGACTGGTCCGCCCCTGTCCGCTGACGGATGCGGGAGGATTTTTGCGGGTTGCCGTTGGAGATGCCCTTAGAGCATCTATAGCCGGACTTCCCAAATTGACCGGGTGAATGCAGGACTACTATCGGACTAAGCTTGACTTCATGTTGTTATATTCTTGGTCTTTGGGGATTCTTTATCTTGATCACATGTAGTAATATCTGTTATGTTTTGGGTATGCATGATACCTCTCCTGTTTAAGTTCCACGTGTGATGGTATTAGGCATAAATCCGTTTATGTGCGGTGCATATTGCAGGTGCTAGTTACTCCTACATCTTTCTTTCTTTGGCTAAGTTGTTAGTTCATGTATGATTTGGACAGTGTATGTGGTGTGCTAATCTGGTTAAGAAGGAGCAACCATGCGATCACAATGCATGATTTTTTTTCTCCAGCACAATGCTATTTAGACAAAATGTCGATATTTACAGGGTGTAATAAGTTGATTCTGGATCTCTAGTTTATGTTATTTCTATCTACAAAAATGCTTAACAACATGCCATGTTAGGTGCATATATTACTCAAGCTTTATGGAGTGTATAATTTTATTATATCTTTCAAATATGAGCTATATTTCTAGCTCCGATGGAGTTTCCTGAGATATTTTTCTCTAATCTTGCTTTGTTTCACCATCTTCCTTTTTTCCAGAAAATGTGGATGATTCATGAGGTTCTCTAATCTTCTACATCATTGGCTTCCGCAACCTCAACCTCAACTCATTACATCCCTGCCTCTCCCTCGGTTTAGGTGACTCCTTGCTCTGTCTCTCTCTCTCTCGCCATTGAGTCATGGGTGACTGGTGCTGGTAATCAAGATGATGGTTTAGTTTTCGATTTTGTGGTGGTGTTCTTGTGCCCACCACAATCTTGTTATTGAGGTTTAGTTTTAGACCCTTTTCTTGTCTTATATTAATCATGCCAATGTTATATATTGTACCCATCGGATGCCCATTGGGTATAGGATACCTCAAGGGTATGTGCATGGGTGCCAATTTGTGCCCCATGGATATTGACATGGATGGGTATAGAAAAAAGATAATGGTATGGGTTTGGGTAGAAAAAGGTCGCACCCTCCCATACCCTATGATTGCCATCCCTACTTACCCCTAGCATCCGCACACTTCGATTTTCCTCCTTTATCGACAAACTGGCCCAAAGAGATATCCAGTGACATATCACTTTGATGAGAATAATAAGATCGTAATTGTGTTCTCTCAAACACAATATCATAGAAGCATCTCCATATAGTCCAGAAGATAGCAAAAAAACCCACCAGTACTAGATTTTTATTTATCTTTAATCCAAGCACCAAAACATGTGTTTAAGCTATCAGGAAAATTTCTCAAATCGAAAGCACACTTGAACAAAATCCAAACCAATTTAGCAACTATGTGTTTGAAAAAAAGAAGATGAATACCACAAAAAGCACAACATTGTTTTACATATCCAACTTCTCTGGAGCAAATTGTCTTTGGTTAATATGCTCTTCTTAATCATCAGCCATAGAAATATTTAAAATGAAGGAGGGAATTTTATTTTCCACATACATTTTTGTGGGAAGTCATTGTTGACAATAACAAGTTGACTGTAAAAATATTTGATAGTGAACACAACATCATATGTAAACATCCACCTGCTGGTATCTTGGTGGTATCTTTCTTGTTCGACATTTTAATTTAATCAATTTAGTCAACTTATATATAGCTATTGTGGGATTATTTACCGTACATATGGTTGTGCTATGGAGTCTTGACTTTCAGTTCAGTGTATTGGCAAGGCAAGGAAGTTATCCAGAGAAAGCTGGTATGGGTGACCAAGACTAGCTACACCATGTCCCTCCTGCTACCCTTCCTCGTATATTCCAAATTAATGTGTACTTTTGAGATTCAGTCTATGTGGGATAGTGCAAGCGTATATATGTATCTGGTTGTGGGGATATAGTAGGCATAAAAATGTTACATGCATTTTCGTTTGCAATGACATAACCATAGATGCATGGACGCACCACGAGTGACGTGTATGCATGACATCAAGCTATCGGCCAACAAAAATGGTATCAAATATAATTGAAACCACAATTGTTCTTAAACAAATAATATCGAATGGAATACAAATGACATCGAGAAGGAGGGGAGGTCCGGAACAGATTGGAACTACTTGAATATGACTGAGGACAAGAAATAGACGTGTGCCTTGTGCCATTTTTCATCAACACTTTTTTTCGCCGGTCTCTTTTTTAACCTCTTTATATTTGGTGGGCTAAATTTGGGGGGTTTTAGTTTCGTTGTGTTGCAATAGGTGTTTTATGTTTGGGTTCCGATGCTTTTGGGATTACGTTGCAACCTTTGCGAGAATCTTGCAAACTCCCCCCTTATATATCCTCTCCCCTCCCCCGCTCCCAAAATTTTCCAATAACTCCGCAAAACAAAGGTATGGAAAAAGGGGAAATGTGAGCGAAATCGGGTGAGGGGAAGCAAAGCAAAACCAATGAATGATCGAAGCAGCAAACTCTGGAGTGCGCCCAACCCAATAGAGCCGACACGCCACCAAACACCAAACCCATCACATATCAACGTCTCGGTGGTAATGGCATCTACTATTGCAGGAAGAAAAATGTCGGGGTTATCTCTTATGGTGTTTTGATATCACAAAATGTATGATTTTCTTGGTAATGGTGGTGCCTCACAGTGCAACAATGAAGCGGCGATAGCTCACCTTGAAAACCTCTTGGCAATGATGGTGTTCACGATGGCATCAAATTTGTTTTGGTTAGAGGTTCTCCCATTTTATAATCTGTGTACCTAAGATCTTCATTGTTGATAGTACAACAAGCAAGCAATGGTAGCTCACCTTGCAAACCTCTTGTCTTAAACCAAAGTGTGTCCAAACGTGTAATGATTTAAGGTTTTCACAATATTCGGCTCATGTGGCTTTTCGAATCTCTGAGTTAGTCCAGTTTAGACGGATTTTTGTTGTGCAATTTTCTTGGGTGAGTCGCAGTGGAACATCAGGATGCAAAAGGCAATTATAGAGATTAACAACCTTAACTATCTCCGTTTTGGCTTTCACTTTTATGGTGTATATCATGGTTTGCGTTCTTTTCGACTTATTCCACCTAGTCAACGTTGAAGTCGAATCATTTAGTAAAATAATATGAAACATTTTGCACTTGTGAATTAATAAAGGGAAAAGAGTAGAAAGTTGTTGAAAACAACTTCAACTATTTTTTTCCATTAAATGAACAAGGTAACAAAAAAAACAGGTTTATAAGCATACTATGTATAGGTTTTTTCACCAATATTAGGCGACGCCAGCATAAAGTACTATACGCGGAAGTTCCCCATTGCAAAACTTTTTGAGCAGCCGAACACCGAAAAGGTAGGCCGCAAGTAGGCACGAGGTGTTTCCAGCCGAGGTGGCCAAGGCACCGGAGAGCTCTGTGTAGTGTAGTGTGTACCAGGTGCCAACCGAGATAGGAATAAGATCCTAGCTAGCCTCCTGACCTTTCATGGCTTTAGATGAACATGTTAATTATCTTTGCTAGTTAGGTTTATAGTCACGACCCACAACCAGCCAGTCGACTCCACGGTGATGGTCGGATGAACTATATATTGGCCCTGCTTGATGACGATTCATAAACAGCATACAGATTGCTGGTTGCTGCATGGGTCCATGGACTTCCTTGTGCAGTCTCTCTTTCTAGGCCGACCATTGGCCGGCATGCACATACATGGATACCAAATTCATTCATCCATCCATCCTACATCACTTCCATTCGATGTACTGTAGCACGAGCACACCATATCGCACTGGCTACGCTACTCTGGTCGATCGATCTTCTATGTATGTATGTGTAGTACTAGGAATTTTGGTAATCCCAACATCAATCTTCATCCTATGTATGGTATGTATGCGTCGGTCTGTGCCCTCTACGGACTATCATCTTGATCTGCAGGGGAGGAGGTCATTCTGGTGGTAAGGGAGGGCCTCATCTTGACGATCTGCTCGTCGTCGGCGAGGCCCATCCTCTTGGCAGACATGCCAGCCTCGAAGAAGCGCCGCACGGCGCTCCTCATGTAGGAGGTGCCTTCCCTCACGTTCATCCTCTCCCTGATCCTCTCCTGCAGGCTGCTTAGCTGGTGGTCGCCGTTCAGCACCGCCGCCAGCTGCACGATCTCCTGCTGGAACGAGCTCAGCTTTGCCTCCTCGTTCGCCTCCGTCTGCCGGATCCTCGTCGGCGTCGGGAGTTGCTCTGCACATTTCATAACTTCCATGGATAAGCAAGCAACTCATCGCAAGAATACAAAGCAAGCCAGGTGGTGACACCAAGTCGTATGATGAACTTGACAAATTACCTGGACAATCTGTCCTCGGTTCAGTTCTGGTTTGCACGACGCCTTCGAAGGTCCCAGCCCATGCGTCCCTTTTGGTCAGGAAATCCTGTGGCAGATTGAACAGTTTCTTCACGGTTGCGGGGATCGAAGAATGCTCGAATTGTGACGTCGGGGTTGGACTTCCATTCGGCCCATGCATAACTGAAACCGAAACAAAAATTGTCAGAAAGACAGTATATATATAGCTGGCGAATTATGCACTAGCTAGCATTTAGTTTGCACATAATAACAAAGAACGCGCTGACTGACCTGTTCCCTTCTCAATCCATGGAGAGATCAAGATGGCCGGGACACGCACTCCCAACCTGTTGAACGTGAAGTTGTATGGGGGCGGGCCGACGATGTCGTCGGGGCTCGGCACACCATCGACAGGGGTGGGCACATGGTCAAAGAACCCGCCATGCTCGTCGTAGGTGAGGACCATGAGCGTCTCGTTCCACTGGGGGCTGGCGCGGAGCGTCTCGTAGATCTCCTTGACGAACATCTGGCCCTGGTAGACGTCGTGCGAAGGGTGATCGTCGTTGGCAGGGTGGTCCTTGGAGTCCATGTAGTGCTGCTCGATGACGGCGTAGTTGGGCAGGGAGCCGCGGCTAGCGTGGTCACGGAACGCGTTGTGGAAGGGGTGGAAGTTGAGGATGTACTTGAGCTTGCGGAGGTTGCGGTAGAAGAGCACCGCCGGCACGTCCTGGAAGTAGATGCCGAAGGAGAGGCCCGCGTCGTGCACGTTGTCGAAGATGGTCCTCTGCGGGTACCCCTTGGCCAGCAACCTGCATAGGTGCAACAGTATTGTCAGAAAAACGCTCAGGGTAGCTCATGTTGTGCTTTTTTTTTTTTTTGCTCTGTCCAGTTCAAGTGAGGATAGCAATGTTGTTCCTGCTCCCCGAAACTGCTTCCTTCGTGTAAAGGAAAACATTTTTGTAGCAGACAAGAGAACATTTTATTGAGTGAGATCTAAAAGAAAGCATTTTTTAGACAGGTAAAAGAAAGGATATGCTCTGGATCCCTTCTGAAATTTAGGGAATAGAGGCGCTAAACTTTGTTTAGTTTTCTTTTAGTGGAGACTTTGTTTTGCTCATTTCTGTACTATAAAAAATGAGACACGCCCTCTGCTACTCTGTATACGAACGTCGGTGGTTCATTTTTTTTGTACTTCCTCCGTTCCGAATTACTTTTCGCAGGTATGGATATATACTAATTCTAAATACATTCATTTCTAGGACGAGTAATTTGTAAGTACCCTGAAAAGGCGTTGAGGGTACAGTAGAGGAGTCTTGCCGCATCTCACTTGGCTTCATCCCATGCGCATGTACTACTCCTACTACCGACAAAGGTCATGGGAGGTCGCATGGCCGAATAAATGTCAGCCAGCCAGCCAGCCAGCTCTCTTGTGTCACGGACAGAGCCGGGCATGCACGGATTTCCACTCTCGTCACTGGCCCTGGCTGGACAACCGAAACTTTGAAAGAGACGTGTCGAGACAGACTCACCGACGGTGAGCCCAGTCAACCTTCTGGTCCCACGGTTCAGCGAGGCGGGCCACCGCGTAGATGTCGCGAGGGTATTGCCAGGTCGCGTCAGTTTCACATGGATGCATGATTGATCGTGCGCACCGTCCTCTGCCGATTTAGTTATTTGATTGACGAGCCGATCGTACTAGGAGTGGCGCTAGTTTTTTTTTTTTTGAGACAAAGGAGTGGCGCTAGTGCTATGAGTACCAATCTATTCTAATCCTGTTTGATTAGCCGCATCCAGCACCAGCGTGACTGGTGTCTGGAGCGTGACAAAAAGCAGAGGCGCGAGAAAGCAACGCGTGGCCCATATAAAGATTTGGCAGCCGGGATTTGGGTTCCTCGTGTCGGGCCGGCCTCTCCAATCAAATCGCACTTTCTTGGATTATTATTATTTGTGCGAGGGATGTCCTCTCACATTAGACACTGTAATGTCAGGCTAAAGCTCTTTTCCCAACGAGTGCTTGGCTTTGCTGCCCAACCAAGGAAGAGGAAAAGCACTCGGATAAGAGCTGCCCTTGCCCTACACACAAGATGAAAGTGGTACCACTACCACACTGAATGATCTGTCCCAGCCAGACATAAATCGCCCACTCTGCTTCACCCTAATGTCAGCGCAAGCTATAGACTAGTACTACTAGCTCCTTCCGGCAACAGAGTACGTCTGGTTGCACATGCTGCCACGGAGCTACTGTACTGTAGTAGTTTTGACCAAAACAAGACCACTGATTTGACGACCTAACCAGTGTAATCCAAAAAAAAATTCTTACTAGTATTGTAATATTAGGATGTGATTATGACCATTCAAGCAAATTATATTATTAATAGATGGCGAGACTAGTCTAAATGAAAACCACAGACATGGCAACCATTAAATCACAAAGGTGCCTATATATTCATACATATACGTGTGTGTACACAAAAGTAATTCCGAACCAAGGGAGTACATACAAACTACTTAAAATAAACGTCTCCATCCATCGTGTTCGTGCTGCTAATACGCAACTCCCTCCCTCGTATAGCTAGCACTTTTCTACAATTAGCACGATCACGACATTCTTGTTCCTATAACCCTAAAAAAGGTGACATTCATTCTTGTTCCTATCTAAGCGCGCATCATCCCCAACAACCTACCATCCATAAATTTATTTATTTTTCTTGTTGGTGACCAACCCACCCCTCTCCGTCCGCAATGCAGGTTGGAATCGAATCCGCCACGCGCGCCCACGGACACGCAAAGAATCAAGACGCATTCGCCGGATGGATAGGTAGATAAGTAGATTGTAGAACAGAATTAAGGCCTGAAGAAGGAGGGCGTACGTACTCTGGGTTGTTGCTGGTGGCGCCGCCGGAGGTGCCGGAGTGGACGAAGAGGCGGTTGGGCTGGGTGGACGACGGCACGGACGCGAACCACCGGTCGCACACCGCGAACTGCGCCACCAGCTCCCGGTACACGGCCACGCTGTCGGGCGCGAACCCGTTCATCACGGCGTCCGTCATGTTCCCCCCGCCGATGGACCGCGCCTGCTGCACGAACCCGTTCATCCGCGGCGGTCCCGTGGCGTCGTCGGAGCCGAAGATCTGCTGCCGGATCTCCTGGTACGAGTGCCCCGGGTCCGGGTCCACGAACTGCGCGCCGTCGCCGAAGTAGACCCGCGGCCCCGCCGACGGGTCCGACGCGTTGGCCGGGTTCCACTCGGCGCCCGTCACGCCGTCGATCGCCGGGTTCAGCCGCTTCATCCACCCCAGCATGTGGTCGAACGACCGGTTCTCCATCACCACCACCACCACCGTCTTGATCGGCCCGCTCATCCCCGCGCGCGCCACCGCGCCGGACGAGGCGAGCACGAGGAGCAGGGCCATGGCGGCCGCCAGGAGACGGCGCTGCGGCGTGGGAACCGCCATTGTCGGTCGACTGATTGATCTCTGTGCGCAGCGCAGTAGCGGAGAGCGGAGGATTTGGGGGGAGCTCGTGAGGGAGATGGACCCCGCCCGGCTTGTGGGGTGGTGGTGGAGGATGTTGTCCTTTTATCGTGGACGGCGGTGGGCGGGGTCTACTTACATCTTCTGGACGGGCCAAATTAGCTACGGCCATGCAGGGCTGCCGTGATGTATTTCCTAGCTAACACAATTAATCTTCGTTAATAAAATTCCTGCAAATCAAGCAATGGGGTCAACGAAATTCCTTTTGGCATGTCTTGGATGTTTTCTTGGAACAAAATCGTATTTAATCTAGGCAATAATAGAAAAATGTAAAGGTTATACTACTTACCAAGTATATGTATATAATCTTATCCAGGTAAGTGAAGGGAAATTATTTTGTCAGAAATAACCATTTTGTAGCCATGACGATGTACTCGTAGCTAACACAATTAATCTTTACTGTTAATTCCTCCAAATCTAGCAACGGGTCAACGAAGTTCCTTTTGGCATATCTCAACCACGCTAATGGATATATATCCTACAATAAAAACACATTTAATCTAGGAAATGATAGAAATTTTTTAAGATTATACCATCCATGAATTTAATCTTATCCAGTTAAGTGAGGGGATTTTTTGTTCGAAACAGAAGTTAAGTGAGGGGGAATTACTTTGTCAGAATTAGCTATTTCGTAGCCAAATCTTCGTTATGGGTCAACGAAATTTCTTTTGGCATATCTTTACCACGTCAATG